TGCGAGGGCGCCGCGACCTGTTTGCGATCGCAACTTGCCCTCTGGTGGCACCTGACAAAACTGCAAACGTGTCACCGCTGCCCTGCGACAGCCGCGCGGGCCCGGCACAGCCTGTGCGGGGCGGCTCAGCCCCCTCGGCAGCTCCCTAACGGCCCCGCAGGGCCGGAGCACGTGGACTGTGGTTCCTTAATGCCTCTCGTGGATTAGGATGTAACTACAGAGCTGAGCGTGGAGTAATCTGTGCCCAGGCATCTTCCTCCCACACTTCTACAGGCTTTCTGATAAATTAGTTGATTAAAGGGCCTCTGAACTTCCACTTGAAACAGTGGTCTGTATAAATGTTCCCACTGGCATTTAAAGACGGTAAAAATGCCCTTAAAGTTCTAGTTCAGTTCTGTTTCACTCAGTTCCCTCCCTCTCAGGGACAGCAAGTATCTGGTATTGCAAGGAATCACAAACTTATTGTGGGACTACCTTGTAAGGAGAAATGGTGACCAGTCTATCAATGGTCTATCAATGCTTCCAAGGCAAATGTGTTCAGATAGAAGATTTTAAAAAATCGTTTGTAGCCTCCACTTCCAGGTCTACAAACTCTTGTGCCTGGATCTGAGAAGTCAGCATGATCCTTCCAGCACGGGTGCTGTTCCTGGCTTCTCTCTCTTCCCACATTCATTTGAGCCAGGCCTGAGCTGACCCAGGAGCACTGTTTGCTCAGGATCATTGCTGGTGTTGCTGGGCAGGGTGTACTCAGCCTGGCTCTCAGTGCTAAGCCTGCTGAGTTGCAGTTAGTCACTGAACAAAACCCCCAAAAGGGCATTTTTTCCCCAATGTTTTCACTTGACTTAGTGAAGAAAAATAAATCAGCCTGTGGCTTTGGGGTTTGCCTTTTCTAAGCCCATCTGAATTTTAAAGCAGCAAGGCTCAAGCTGAGTCACTGGGAAATCCACATACTCATGTCTTGGGAGATCTCAAATCAAATATTCATGTCTGAGTCAATGCCCTGCGTTCTCACCGGCCTGTTCCATAGAGGTGGTCCAGCTTCCTGGGGAACGGCAGGAGTTATCCTCCCGCCCGGCGCCAGGAAGAAGTGCTCTGCCTGCATTCACCAGCACTTCTAGTGCAACAGTGACTCAGAGCTATTCAGCCGTTCAAATGCCCCCTCCTCCCTGATCTCCAGTTTGCAAATCCAGCTGATGCATCAGAAAGCCTTAGTCTGCAGAGCTGTGAGTTTGGGAAGGAAATCTCCGTGTCCTTACATGTTTGGAGCGAGGAAAAATTAACCAGGCCTGCTAAAGCTCTCCTGCGGGCTCACACGCGGTGTGTGCTCTGCCCAGCTCCTGGGCTTTCTGCTCTTACCCCTGTTTCTGCTTTCTAACGCCACAGGCTGCTCATGCTGCTCGGGAGCAGCCAGGCACTGAGGCCGCAGACCCTGCCAGCTTGCAGTAACAGAGCCCTTTTCTCTTCCCCAGGTTATCCAGGCTTCCAAGCTGCCACCTACGCGAGTCGAAGTTACACTGGCATTGCACCTGGCTACACTTACCAGTTCCCTGGTGAGTGGTGCTCCCTGCTCTGTTTTTAGGTCTGCCTTCAGGTGATGGGAGCCCCTGGCATGATCTGTGACCCAGGCTCTGCCCCTTTCACCCTTTCCCCTGTTTGGTCTTTCTTTAAATTGGAGACGGATGTGGAAGGGGGAGGGGAGAAGCCCTGGAATAGGTGGGAACAGCCTGTCCTTCATTAGGATTATCCTTACACTGCAGTGGCAGGAAGAGCCCAAGGCTGCTCCGACGCCCTTTATGCTGGCCTGCTCTGTAGGGCTGCTGCTGTGACACAGCAGGGCCCTGCAGCTCTGCCTGTCTCACCGCCTTTGTGTGTGTCTGTCTCTCTTTACCAGAGTTGCCACTGCTCTGAAAGTAGCACAGAATGTCAAACCTCATGGGCCAGGGAACTCCTGGGCAAATCGAACACCGGCACCTGCAGTGCTGCAGTTGTGTTCTGAACAGTGCCTGGACCACTCACAACCTCCACAAAGCATCTGCTGGGCCAGGAGGCTGCAGATCTCCTGCAAACTGGGTGGTTTCAAACTCCCAACCCTGCCATGTGCTCAGAACATGGACTCCACGATCAATGGCTGGAACCTGCTGTGCCACAGCTGCTCAGAGCTTTGTGGGGCCTCTCCTCCCTTCCATTCTCTGCGAGGCAGAGCACACGCAGGGGATAGACTGTGCTATTGCTATTTTCTAGAGAGGTGGCAACTCCGAGCATCCCTTCCTTACTCCATCCCTCACTGTGATGGTTGATATATGAAGTTTTGATATTACGGGCTGGGAATGGGAAGTTTCCTCTTTGCCTGAGGCGAGCCCAGGCTGACTATGGCTGAAAGTTGCTGTTGCCTCCTGGCTGTCTAGAAGCTCTCTGTGAATCCAGCTGTAGTGGCTTCAACTGCCTCACTGTAAACCCATGCCAGACTGAGTGTGCCACATACTGAGCACCCACTGACATTGCCACCAAGGGGTCAGATTGGCTCGGTCAGAGAGCAGAGCTCCGGGGCAGACCTGAGACTGCGCTCGCCCTGCCTTGGCCACATTTATTCTAAGGATAAATGGATCCTTTCAGCCTTCAGGGCAGGAGTCCAGCACCTTTCAGCACCAGTTATAAATCAGTTTAAAGAATACACTGCCCTGGTTGCAGGCTGCTCCCCCAGCAGCCCCTGGCTGCTGTCTCTGCGGGGTCTCCCTCGGGGCATTTGATGAGTTCCTAAGCTGTCTTGCATTTCGTTTTTAGAGTTCCGTGTAGAGCGGACCCCTCTCCCGAGTGCCCCCGTCCTCCCCGAGCTCACAGGTCAGTCCCGCTCATTTCCTAAACTCACAGCTGGAAGGGGAGAAGGGGGCTTTGGGCTGTTCCAGTGGTGGTGCTGCTCCACAGCCTGGCGCAGTTAGATTGGAGACGTTCCTTATTTCCTCTTTCATCTGAATGAGCTCCACCCAAAGCTGGGGCTGGAAAGCTGGAGAGGCAATCAGAGCCATGTGTATTGCCTCTGAGAAGGGCCACACAGGTCCTTTTCTGCTGCTTGCCTCGTTTTTAGCTCCTTGCCCTAGGCTGGGTGTAGACCAGATATGGAAAACTGCAGAGACCAGAGTGACTTCCACAGATCTACAAATTACCTTAACCTGAGCTGCTCCAAGGATGAGATTTGAAGTGCTGGGAGGAGGGAGAGGGTGTGTGGGGGCACTCCTGGCTACTCTAATCCCATTTCCCTGGGCAGGAGGGGCTGCAGGGGGTGCTCTCCTGCTCTGAGTGGTGCAGTTCCCCAGCTACTCCCACACAGGCTTTCCATGCAGAAGTGTGGTGGGACACTGCAAAGTCCTGCAGTGCTTGCAGGGAGCTGTGGAACGAAATGGGAACAGAAGACCCTTTTCAGTGTCCCCACAGTGCAAATATTCTCTGCATCCTCAGCCCCTGGGGTGTGTGCAGTGTGTTCTCCCCAGGTGATTCTCCTTCTGTCTACTCTCCCTTCCATGGCCATGTTTTCCCCAGCTCTGTCCTGTCCATGGTTTTTGTTGTAGACAAGCCCCCTTCCATGGCCATATTTTCCCCAGCTCTGTTCTGTCCATGGTTTTTGTTGTAGACAAGCAGCTTTGTGTAGCACCCTGCTCCCCGTGTGCCATCTCATTCCCATGGTGTTCCTCCTCCCCAGCGCTTCCTTGCCCCCACCTGTTTCAGGGTTTGAATCTCTCTGCAAAGGGGTATGGAAAAACGTCCTGGGAAGCTTTCCTGGAATTAGCAGTACAGACTTGAAAGGGAATTTCTGTGGCATAGAACTGTGTTGATCCTCAGGGGTCCTGAGGATGCTGAGGTTGGCAGCCACTGATGAACCTATTTCCCTAAGGGAGGTAGAAGACTAAATCCTGTCTCTCTCTTAACAAAACCCTTCCCTAACACCATGTGTGCAGCTGCAGAAGCACCTGACCCCACCTCTGAGCCTTCTGGTTGCCAAGCAAAGGAGATGTGGGTCCAGTTGTTTATTTACATGTGTGTTTTTCAGCAAAACCCATCAAATTTGTAGAGAAAGGTTGATGACTCTGCAGAAGTGGTTTTCCCTCCATGTTCACCCCCAGCTGCACTGTGCCTTTTCCTGCTGGAGGTGACTTGCCCGGGGCCTGGCTGTCACGGGCGGCCGGGGTGCTCCAGGGCTCTGTACAACAAGAAGTTATTAATGCTGCTGTCCTGGCTGGGTGCCACGTTAGCTTACAGTCCTGAGTGTCTCACTGAAGTACCAGCTGGGGATTGTGGCATTCTTCCCTCCCCGATACGCTTACCTACTGTTAAACAGGCCCTGTGCAGCCTCTTGGCTGGGCCATGAGCTGTGATTCCCATGTATAGGCTGGAGCTGGTCCCGTGAAGGGCAGGGCCCCTCCGCTCCCACAAAGGCCCAGTGAGCTGTGCCGCGCTCGAGGGCCCTTGTGCCTTCGAGTGGATGTGTGCGTACGCGGGCTGCGCTGCACGGGCTTGGCAAGGGGAGCCAGGAGGAGGGGATGGCACAGGCAGGGATGATTGCTCCAGCACACAGCGGGTGAACGTGCAGGTGCTTTGTCACCGCAGCGCAAACCTGGCGTATCAGTAGGTAGAACTGCGAAGGCAAAAAGGGGTTTTCCTGGAAAAAGAACTGGAGTTTTTGAGAAGACCTCGCCTGCATTCTCAGTAAAACCACACTCATTCAGCTGTGTGTTAGGGACTTGCAGCAATGATGGGGCAGGAGGGTGGCTGCCAGCAGCCTTTCTTTCCCAGAACAGTATCTTTGGGGGTGATGTGAAGCAGCAACATGCCTACGTTGGCCCAGGGCCTGTAATGAGCGGCTAACCCAGATAGAAGCCTCATATGACGTTTGCTTGAAACAGGCTGGTGCCTGCTACTAAATATTCCCTCATAAGCTAGTCTGGGTTTCAGCCTTAACGCGATTGATTTGTTCTGACCTCTTTTTATGGTGCTCTAAACAGAATCACAGTGAATTTCACATTCAAGCATGAAATGCTGACCCAGTCATTTTAAGGGCAAAGAGAAACATACTGGCTAGATGCCTCCTGCCCCGAGGGCTGAATGCCTGTGGCAGTAGAGTTGGGAATTAGAACTGCTACATATAAATTAAGACTTACTGTTTTAATTAAGCCATTTCAAGTTCCTGCTCCCTAGGTATATGTTTCATGCTTTCCTACAATGAACAACGAGGGTTTGAGCAATTCATGAGCAAAAGTCAGTGTGGGGAGGATGGTGTGTCTTGACTGGAGAAAGAGGCTATTAAACTGTTATTCAGGAATACTACCGAGAGAGACGAGGGGCTGTGCCTCAGGACATTGAGCTTCAGCTACAGTCCCTGAGCTGCTGCGTTTCTTCACATTTACTGCCAAAATCTGGATCTGTAGCTTCAGATTAACTGCATCTTGCAAGCTAAGTAGCGACAGGATAGATCTGAAATTGCCCACTTCTGGTTCAGCTCTTCCACGTCATGCCCTCGGCTGCCCCGGGGTGTGGGGCTAGCAGAGCATGGCTCGTGCATTCCCCTGGTCACTGGCTATGGAAAAGGACAGAGGGACGCAGGGCTGTGCACTTCCCTGTTGTCATCCTTCGATGTCCTCCATGCTGCACTAAGCTGATATATATGTGTGGGGACAGTATTTTGCAGTGGGCAACGAAGTCTCCTGTTGAGGCGTTTCCCATGTAGCCACAGTGCCCCTGAGTTGCCTGTTCCCTCTTTTCCAGCAATCCCCCTCACTGCGTATGGACCGATGGCGGCAGCAGCGGCTGCGGCGGCCGTGGTGCGAGGGACAGGTAACTGCCACTTTCCTCCCCAGCGCGGTGTCCTGTCACGGAGGTTTGCAAGGGGCTGAGGGAGGGGGGTGGGACGGGGTTGCATTTTTGGGATCTTCACTCTGTAGTTTTGCTGCCTGCTGTAGGTTCCACCCCCAGTCGCACCGGTGGATTCCTGGGCACCACCAGCCCCGGGCCGATGGCAGAGCTTTATGGAGCTGCCAACCAGGACTCAGGGGTCAGCAGTTACATCAGCGCTGCCAGTCCAGCCCCGAGCACTGGCTTCGGGCACAGCCTAGGGGTGAGTGTTCCCTGGCAGCTCCGTGCGGGGGGAGGAGATGGAGAGTGGCACTGCCAGGGGAAGGGTCTGTGTCTCCACATGGTGATGGATGTGGGCAGCAGCAGGCAACCTCCTCTCAGCCCACAGTCTGCTCTCTGGTTATGAAATACCACCCACCACAGCAGTGGCCATGGCACTGCTGAGCCCCAGACCAGAAGCCACCAGTGCAGAATGCAGCAGCTCACTTAGAGCCCATGTCCCTGGTCTCTGCTGGTTCTCCCTGATCATCACTCAAGGTCCTTATCTCCAGACCTTTCCCTGATCTGTCCCAGGCTTTCCAAGAGCCTGTCTTGGCCATGAGGCAGTGTCCTGCCGGGTGATGTGCTTCTGGCACCTCCAACTGAAATCAGCTTTCTCTGCATCTGGGCCGTGACTGAATTTGTTGTAGTGGTAATTCTCTTTCACTTTTTTTTTGTTTAAGATTGGGTTTAACTCTTTTATTTGCAGGGTCCCTTGATTGCAACAGCTTTTACCAATGGGTATCACTGAAGCTGGGGACCAAGGAGGCAGGAGGTAAGAAAGCTTTAAACAGGAGTGAGGTTCTGAGCTGGCCCCTGTGCTTGGGCTCTTGGCTGAAGCTGTGGATGCTGCTGTGAGGCTCATTGGCTTGACCCAGCTTGTAGGAAGTCTCCTGTGGTCAGCCTGAGGCTCTCTACTGCACCAGAGGCTTGGCAGGTTGGGTTCCTACTGAACGCTCCTCTGGCTGGGAGCGCCATGGAGAGGTGATTTGGTCTCTGGGCACGAAGAGGAAGGAAATGGAGCAGTGCCAGAAAGAGGAAAGGTCTGCAGGGCTGGCTAGACTTACACCAGTGGTGATCCTGAGAGACAGGCTGGGCTCACCAGTGTGGCTGGGGAAGCCTCCACCATGCAGCTGGTTATTTTCACTGCTGCTGAGACCAGTCTCTAGGAAGTTAGTTTTTCCTTCTGCCTGAGAGAAGGACAGAAGGAAAACCTGATTCATTCTGTTTTGGTCCTCAGATAAGCCTGAGAGAGAACTGGTGGATGGTGTTCGTTTGCTTTGCAAACATGACTGAAATTAGCTGGCGTAAAATTAAAATAAAAAACCCCAGTAGCCAGCTTGTCAAAAAGGAGGGTAAAAACTTGCAGGGAACGGTGTCCAGACAGGAGCCCATGGCAGTGCTGGGGAAATGCCTGGGCTCTGCTCTGTCCCGGGGCCAGGAGTGCACGGGCCTGGGCAGGCTGCATGGCACAGGGGGCTGTGCTGCCCAGGCCTGCACGCTGCCATTAAAGATGGAAGCATCTTTGCCGTGCCCCATCCCTGTGCCAGCAAGGTGCAGGGAAAGTCTGTGTTGGGGCAAAGTTTGGGTGTCCAGTGTTTCTGTCAGATCACATGAGAAGAAAACCCCAAGAGAAAAGCTGTGCTCGTTCTAGCTCCTGTCCCTTCCCTCCCCTGCTGTGTCCCACAGATTCCCCAGTGACCTAACCGAGGACAGCGAGCGGCTGGAGGATCTGGTGAGCCTCGGGGGATGAGCCAAGGTTACCTTTCTCTTGAATCAAACTGCACACTGCCGGCTGGCTGCCAGGCTCCTGCCGCCCTGCCCCGATCTCTCCCTTTGACCAGACCACACTGGACTGAACCCGAGGAGATCATCTCGCTTTCTTACTAACCACCGACGGTTTACGCTTCCCCTCCCTGCCCCCAGCCCACTGATTCTTCTTTTATTTATTTTATTAGCTGTTAGTTTTATTTTTTTATTTTATTTTTTTATCTTTTTTTTGGGGCTGCCCCTTCTTTTTGTTGTTTGCTCTTTCCCGAGCTAGTAGACATATTTTATGAATTGGCTTTGTGATTGTGTTAGGTAGTTTTCATTGAGGAGTATTTTTATTTGGCTTTGAAACTGTTTTGAATATTTTCAACTCTGTTGTTGTTGTCGTCAGTGTTTTTAAAGCACGGTATGTAACAAGAATGCAGTTCTGAAGGGAAGAAAGAGACGCAGAGAGAGCAAAGGCTGAGAGGAACTGCTGTATTTCTATTTTTTTTAAAGAAACTGTTTTTAATTGTTTCTGTTTTGTAAATGTGAGGCTTTGAAAAGTGTGAAACTCCAAGGATCCGAAAACGTTGGACACCGCTATGGAACAAAACAAATGTATATTTTGCTAAGTGAAAAACACTATCCTTACAGCTGAAAGATTTTTTTTCCTAGGTTTAGTTTTACGTGGGGTTTTCTTTTTCCTCCTGTATAATATGTAAATATCGCGAGCTGATCCTGGCTGCTGCCTGCAGCCTGGCTCCAAGGAGCAGCTCCAGG